CGACAACAGACGACGACGGCAGACGACGGACGCCAAGTGATGGCATAAGCTCACATGGGGCCCTTCGGGCCCCGGTGAGCTAAAAACGGGCGTAATTTTTTTTTTTGGGGGGGGTTGCATGTGAATCCCATATCTGACCGGAATGTCTGTTTCGCCGAACTGATATCCTGAATACTTTTTTTCAAGGCCCGACTGCAACCTGCCTGCTGGGTGTGGCCTATATGTCTCCATGTGTCGACCGTCATTCACAACTTCATTGTCATTTCCGACTAATTCGTAGCCTTTGGTTGATTTGGAACCCCTCACTTCCCTTGTTGGGTAAAACATTTCAACCAAACATTTGGATGAAAATTGCTTGTTTGTCTTTCTTCGTGTCGGTCGTATTGTAAATTTCATTGAATAGCCATATATCTTGTTTACAACAAGAAATCTGTGAGGTTATGCTAACTAACCATACAACAAACGAGAATTTTCCATGTCCATTTTTTACTGACAAATCTCACATCAAATATATTAATTAGTACATAGCTTTGGATCAATCCAATCATTTCATAATAGACAATTGATGGAGAGAATACGGCACCAAAAATGTCCAACCCCTACACTTTAACTATAAAATGCATTTTACACTTATTTTATGTTTTTTAGCCAAAAAAAATCCCAAAAAAATGTTCGCCTCGCTCCGCTCGGCAAACTTTAATACTACACCCCCCTTTCCAAAATCCTGGATCCGCCCCTGATTTAAAGAGCAGATTTCTTCTTACATAAAGTTTCAATTATAGAAGCATCCTTTGATATTGACATAGAAGATATGATTTTATATCCAAGTCGACCGAAATGCAAACACACAGAAAAACTTCGGCAATCCAATAAATATAAATATTACAATTAGTGACAATTTAAAAGCATATGATTTTAAAGATTTGCATAGAAAAAAAAATTTTTTAAATCTTATTCGTTAATAAGCATTATTGTGTTATCTTGTGTTCAAAATGGGTATTAATCACTTCATCAATGTATGGATCTAAAGCACTAGTGTAATTAATTAATCCCGGTATAAAATAACTAGTGCAAGCATTCCGGTACAAAAACACTAGTGTGAACATTCCTTGGATGAAAACTCTCCACTTTTTACATAAATCAACTATGCAAGTTTCAAATACACTAAAAACTATTAAGCCACATTTTATATATATTTCCCCTTCAAAAAACTTTTTTAGAACCTTATAATGACTGGTGGATGTTTTACACTGGACCCGGATAGAAAAACCTAGTGAATTTTTGTTGGTGGATAAAAATCACTGGGGATTTTCTTCCTCCGGATAAAGTACACTGGAGGAATCAAACCACTGTTACACAACAACAACAACAACAATTTTTATTTGTCAATCAAGACGCCCCGAGGAGCAGTACAATTACAGTTTAAATTAAAGTGTACAAATAATTGTGGTGATTTTTTTTTCATTTAACTATTTGAAATTACAATACATGACAATAAAACTAAAACTTTGTAGGAGAAGGGAGACAACAAACACAGTATATTCCCAAAGATAATGAGTGAGTGAACACAATCAGTACCGTTGTATTATTAAAAGAATCACTTAATTTTGCTCTTCTAGTCTTTATCAAACTATCTATTAACTTTATCATTATGTTATTAACAAATGGATCTTCATTTGACAGATTCAATATTTTATTAAAGTCTCACCACATACAATTACATATATTTACACAATAAAATATTCATACAGGTACATATAACAAACATGTATCGGTAACAACAAACTTTAAATTCACATTGTATGTGCCAATCTTAAAAGATTTATGAGAGACTGTACAAGCAATACTGTTAAAAAACAATTAGATATTGTACATATTATATATAATATATATTTGCTTATGTATATCATTAAAATATACAGCATAATCAATTATATAAAAAATCATTTCTTCTGATTAAAATGCTATAGCAGGTTCTGGCGACACTTTCAAAAACTTTATCATTATTGAATAAAAAAATTAACTTTTCATTATCTGATAAAATGTTAAAATCCACATTAAAATTTGTAACTTCATAAAACAATATATGTCTAAGATCTTCATATAGTGGACATTTCAATAAAACATGTATACATATATAAAGTTCATCTTCAATACTATTATTACAATAAAAACATGTTCTTTCGTGTATTTCTTTTCTTTCATATCTACCGGTTTCTATTCTAAAAGGAGCAACTCCACATCTAAATTTAGCAAAAGAACTCCTAAATTTAAGTGGCATTTTACATTTTAAGTAAGGTTCAGTACAATAATCATATTTAAATAAATTATAAGTTCTTAATTTATTACCTTGAGCATACGCAGATACTCTATTACTCCAATCTATTTTATATTTATCAAACATTATTGTTTCAAATTGTACAATAATATTCTTATTTAATACATTAGTTTCATAGTTACAATAGCTATCAAAATTATGATTTTTAAACATTTCCATAACTCTATGGCTCAAATTCTTAATTCTACCTCTAGCTTTTTTAATTGACCATTTGAGATCATTTGAAAACCTTAAAATTTATTCTATCATGAGTCATATTTGAACATCTTGTCCAGTGTCTAAATACACTTGTCCATTGTTTTACAGATGGTGGTTTCCAACCCATATCTCCATGTATGGCATCATTTGGGGTATATTTACCGACACCCATAAAAAATCTAATGGCTCTATGCCATCAACCATACAAATTTTGATTGGTCATTTAGAATTTTAAAATTAGTAAATTTAGAGGATAAATCTAAAATGAAACTGGACCTTTCAGTTTAAAGTGATGAACATTGAAGACTGAGAAAATGAATTTCATACTCAACAATGTCATTATTACATAATTTACAAAATCTTTTGTCTGGGGTATTCCTTTATGTCTTCCCTTTTCTATTTCAAGTTCATGGGCACTGATCCTAAATTTGGTTAACTCGTTTATTGTTTTACCATTATTTAACAGTAAATATTTTTCAAGGCCAATATTATTTTTGAATAGTCTATAGGTTCTTAATTTGTTTCCCTGCATCATGCCAAGTTTACCATTATTTAATTGGTGAAGCCAAATTTCATCATATTTAATTCGGAGTTTTTTAATGATAATTGACTTTATATTAGATTTGTGATTTAACAAATATTCTGGGGTTAAGATATTTAAATAACGAATAAATGCTTCCCAACCAATTGTCGTTACATTTTTTAGATAAAATTTTGAACTCTTCAAATGCTTCTTTAATGAGGGAGTTATTTTGTTCTGAAAGTCTGACCCAGAATTTAGTCATATTAGAATAACCTCAAGAGATAGGGGTAGCGCCCCAACTCTCCCATCACTGCTAGGTTAGTTGATCTTCTAGGTACCTGTAGAGAATATTTACAAAATTTAACATGTAATTTTTCAATAACTAGATCTTTGCACATCTGGAAAAAATAGTTATCCCCTTTTGATTGTAATTTATTTGAAGAGAATTGGCCCCAAATTTCGGAGCCATTTAATAAAATTGGCTTCAGTATGTGGTCAAAAAGATTTAAAAGTGTTTTATTATTAGGTTTAAAATGAGTAAAATATCTTTTTAATTTAAAAAGAGCTTTTTAATGCTTTATTTTATAGATTGAACTTAGCATCTGTAAACACATGCTTGAAGGTTTATTTTTTATTACATATTTGAATTAATTAAGTGAAAAATAGCTTGTATGGCAAATTTTCGTAAAAAAAAAATCATCGTGGTATCAAAACTGTATCGTTTGCCTTTAAAGGGTTTAGACTATTAGACTATGCTATTACAAAAATTAAAAAAAAAATTTTGTCCTATTTTTGTATTTCGCGCTGAAATTATGCGCATGCGATGTTTCAATAGTATATTCATGTGCGAGTGGACTTTTTTCTTTAATATTGTCCATACGGGTTGCCTATAACGTGCAGAGAAAACTGACATATAGAGTAATAAGACATTAAAATTTTTCTTGAGTTGAAAACTGAAGTCATTTCAAAAATATGTTCCTTATTTTTATTTATGATTCCACGACCGATTTACATCAAACCCACGAATTTTCGTCGCCATATTGAGTCAAAACAAGGAACAACAAGAACTTCCACGGTAACTAAAAGAAAACTGAAACATTTTCATTGCTGTCTGCTCTTTGGATGCTCTTTTGTTGGTGTTTCGAGCAGCTGTTGGTTATCAACGATAACCAGACACCTGCCGGTGACACAAAACACTATGAAGGTGGCGCTGACCATCAGGGTGGCGCTGTACTGAAGCTATTGCAGCGACCCCCAAGTTACTTTCGTTTTATCTTCTTTTCCTTTGATTTTGTAATATTTCAGGGAACATTCATCATACAGATGCCATATGTTTTAACAAAATCGACTCAGTTTATTCTTGAAAAATTGTTGAATTAATTCAATCACTTATGACACCCTTCAAACGTCAAACAGTTCATATTTTTTTCTAAAGTATTTTCACAACTTATAATATCCAACTACTTTTGGTTCATCATAACAAATGGACAAAAATGGCTGGATTTACACCTCTAAAACTACTCTGAGTACAGACTAACCTGTGCAGTTGGGAAAGTTTTAAGGTCTGGCATCCACTAGATATATAAAAGTTAAATGCATTTTGTGTTTCAGAAAGATAAAATCTTTTTGGGATTTTGATTAGCATTTTTTTTCGTTCCTGCAAGAGGTGTAAAAATAAGCAAACACCCGAATTGTATTTGATACTGTCCACTCAGTTAAACCCTTTAACTCACCTATAGTTGTGTAGATATCCATTGTCTGTCTATTATCCATGCCAATCAAGTACAATACAGTTGTTACCTGAGAGGGAGCATCTCAAAGTTGTACCCAACTTAGTTTATTTTTACACATTCTGCAGGACCGAAAAAAAAAACCCATCAAAATCCCAAAAAGATTTTATCTTTCTGAAACACAAAATGCATTTAACTTTTATTTATCTAGTGGATGCCAGACCTAAAAACTTTTCCAACTGCACAGGTTAGTCTGTACTCCGAGCAGTTTTTGAGGTCTAAACACAGCCATTTTTGCCATTTGTTATGATGAACCTTAAATAACGCCATGATCCAATCCCTCATATCAACGGGTTGATTGGTCGCAACACGCCAACTATCTTATAAACAGAGCGCGGGTTTCTATATATGTGTAAAAAAATCGTTTGCAGCAGGGAATCAAATTGATATTTTAAATGACCCTAAATGGTAAAACATTTAGCCTTCATATAGTTGGGGTTAACTTAGTACAGTGGTAATGATTGGTTGGGTCATAAAATGTATTTAAAAGTTTGGTCTATATTTACTTTAAGGCATCTTGTACCTCAGGGTTATGGTTCCCTGAAGGGTAAGGGTTGTGTATGTGTTTGTTTAAATTTAGTGTAATAAATAATGGTTAAGGCTAATATTATGGTTAGGTGTAAAGTACTGTATCCTTTACTTAGTATAGCCATATATGGACAGGGTCCAATACTTTAAATGGGAGCCAAACATTGCTGAATTTGAACACATTAACACATGTAACATTAATTTATTATGAAAATAGGAGTCCACCTGCAGCAATCTAATTAATAAAACTGGCATTACACATCAAACTTTTAACAAGGATATTTATAGTATCCAAATATTAAATTCCTTGTGTTTAAGTTATTATTTATGAAGCAAGTGATTTATGAATCAACCTTCATATCTTTCTATTTGGTTTAACAATGTTTAATAGTCTTACTGATAAAATTATAATAATACTGTCGTTAATTACTGGCAATATACTGCATCTCATGATGATCTGGATTTTTTTAGGATAAAGCTTAACACCCATTCTCAAATTAATAGTTTGAAGCAATACTAAAATGTCTCTTTTCTGATTTAATTTCTAAACCGGGTTCTGTCCCAACTTTTGGACTTTTCTTAAGATTTTGTCTTCCTGTTCTGGTTAGGATGTTGCTGTATTGTGATGTACCAATAAATCTTGTACATCAATCAATATGAGAAGATATGATGGTATGATGGTATGATTTCATATCAGCAGGTTAGCAAGCATTCATTGATGTGGTATGATAAATGTATGGTATTTTTTGTGCTTGTTATTTGGTTATCTGTCAAAACATAATTTAAGAATTTACTTTTAGTGCTTTTTCTGTACTAAATTGTTTTATGTTCCTTTATATACAATTGTACCTTTTATAAATCTACTGACCAAACTGAAATTTAATGAGGCAGGTTTGAGATCTTAAAAGAAACGAGTTTAACCTCGCCATATAATTATTCATGTGTCTGTCCCAAGTAAGGATCCTCCGCAGTGTTGTTTTTGTTATTTAGAGAATTTGGTGTTGATGAAAGATGAAAGCACTTCTGTGTTGACATGAATTATCATTGATATGGTCATAATTATAAATTAACTATTTACAAAACTTTACATTTTTGAAATACTCAGGCTTTTCTACCTCAGGAGCTGTATTTGGCAAAACTATTAGGAATTTTTGGTCCTCAATGCTCTTCAACTTCGTACTTTATTTGGCCTTTTTAACATTTTTTTGATTCGAGCGTCACTGATGAGTCTTTTGTAGACGAAACGCGCGTCTGGTGCAAATACAAAATTTCAATCCTGGTATCTATGATGAGTTTATTTAATAGTGTCTGTTGAATAATCATAACTTATTAAGATTGTATCATTTAGAGCTTTACATACATGACATATTGTATAGATGTCAGCCTACATTGTACATTCATTTTGGTCTACCATTTAAGTATACTCTACTGATAAAAGCAAAAACAAAAATTTAATTATGTATATTGAATGCTAAATGTCTTTCATTTACATTGTGCAAAGCTCCTAAAAGATGCATGTTTAGGGTAATGAATATCATAGTCTATATCTTCTTCAAACAAGTGTATTAGATAGGAATAAAACCGTTGGGAAAAACTGTCATTGTTTTTCACTGTTGTATGTGATCTTCATTGTTGAAGAGATCCACAAAATGTTTCAACCTACAAACAGTCAAACACGCACCTTTTAAAAAAAATGTGTACTTCAATGTTTTCTAATTATATAACATTAAAATCTTCATTGTTGACATTGATCTTTTTGAAAGTATTAAATTCATTTCAGAATGTTTATTTTGAAGAAAATGATATGGATTCCCTAGAGGTGAATTCTATAAAACAAGACCTCAATGAACAAGATACTGAATTAACAAGTGGGGATGGATGCAACAAACTGGCAGATAATTCCAATCTAGTGGCTGATTCACAAAACCATGACGATGACTCAGACTTAAAGCACCTGGTTGATGACAGAGAAAGTCCTGTAATAATAAGAGATGAAACTATTGTTCAGCTTCAAAATCATGGTCCTAATGTACCTACTTCTATCCAATCCAGTCCTGACCAGCTGAATGACCTTCAGAGTTACCTTGTGACCTTCAACAAGGAAATAGGTCATGGAGGGCAGCCAACAGGTTACAGCATAGGAGAAATACACGTAGATACTAGTAATTTACAAAGTTCAGCAAGACCTGTTTTATACAGTGATGGTCAGATAATAAATGTTTCTACAAGTCTACATTCTAGCCAAGGTACAGTAATTCTCATAAGTTCAGAATAAACATTTGAAAAACAGAAAAAAAAAATACACTTGATTTAGTGTCACACCCATCAGTAATACAGCATTTCAGTTCATTTATAAAAAAAACCTTATTTGTGCTTAGTACTGTTGAACTTGAAATGATTCTTCGAAAAAACACAACACCCCCTCTTTTTCAGATAGACAAAAGATAAGATTTATAAAAAGTTTTTTACTATTACTTATAGGTAGTATTTTTAGAAGTCTTTCAGGTTTAAAGTCTTTATAATATCAGCTATCTGTATTTGGCTTTATATTAATTCAGGGCTGTCCAGTATAAGTGATGATAGTAAAGTAGAAATTTCTATGACAACAGATAACCTTGACCCTCAGAGTCAGACTTTGAAGTTAGCAGAAGCTCTGTCTAACAGTGGTGCACTTCTACAACAATCTGACAGTGTTATCAGTCAAAGTGTGTTATCTCCCTTGTCACATTCACCAGATCAGCAGAGAACTGTTGTTTTACAAGGATTACCAGGGGCTCCAGGAACTTTGGTACAGGTGAGCTAAAGGGGTGTTCCTTATTATCATTTTGATATTTAAGGAAACACAATGATATATTGTAATAATTTCTTTGATTATGTTAAGACAATAAAACATACAAAATATACGCATCAATAAAATAAAAGTTCACAATTTACCCTAAATTTCTACAATAATTTTCATTTTTCAATTGAAAGAAGACAATTTATAACATATGAAGAACAGAAAATGTCTTGAAAGTGTGACTTATTAAAAGTATTATTGGCTAGGAAAATCCGTGAAAAATTAATCTTTATGAAATTAAAGCATCCTTTCTACTGATAAATATTTTGATGTATATCAGACTCATACAAATTAAATTGTTTAGATGTAGATTTATTGTATGGCCATCTTAACTTTGTTTATATACCTTATTCTCTGACCAGTATTTGGTATTTGTCAAAGTTTTAATGCTCCTGTTACGAACATTTTCCAAACAAAATACATTTTGTACATGTACAATGTACAAGGTATCTGATATAGATGTATAAAATTTTATTTATTATGAATTGGTGTCAAAGTATTAATAATATTAATAATAATAATGAAATTTAATAAAGCACCCTATATAGAAAACAAAAATTACTCTAAGGGGCATTGCATGCAGCATGGTAATTAAAACAAATCAGAAAGGGAAAAAACACAAAACATACAATATATCAGATGCAAAAACTGAAATAAAAATACAACAAAAATGCCTACTATAAAAAAGGTCAATACGGAAATACATATAAAACAAAATAATAAAGTGTAACACACTTGTTGTCTAAAAATCGTAGGGACTTGCATTGTCTCAAACTGTTTGGGAGATTGTTCCAAGGAAATGCCGCTTCATAATAAAATTGTCTTTCAATGTACGTCTTTGTCTGTACTTCTGGAATGGTAGGTAGTTGTGTAGAGCCTGAATAGAGAGATAGTGTAGGTTGACTAGTTCCTGAATGTAAGCAGGGCTGATGCCATTCAAAGCACAGTTAACATAGATAAGTATTTTGTATTGTGGTCTGTATTGGACGTGCAACATATGTAAATAGTATTGCAAAAATAAAAAGAATTGATTTATTAAATATGTATATACTGAACCATAATAACTGCTTATAATGTTATTGATGTGTAAGTTTTAATTATAATTACAGGTAAATGTACCAGGAAAGAAAGTTTTACCAGTTGTCTCCCTTGATGGTAAAGAACAGATGCAGGTGTCAATGGATTCCATGACAACAGTTATTCCCCAGATAATTCATGTGTCTCAGCCATCAGAAATATTACAAACAGGGGTATGATGATGGAATTTTTTGCTTTTTATAAGGAATTTTAATAGTTTATGGCCTGAAGGTTTTTCTAAATACCTTAAAGAGTTTCATACTCTTTTCTATTAAGATGAGAAAAAAGACTGATGGAGATTTTTGTTTTATGACTTAGATATCTGCTTAATATATTCATATCTTATCTCATGTATTGCATTATTTTACTCCTGGCACAATGTACTTATCTCCTTGACCATTAATCCTGTATGAATAAGTCTATTTTAGACCTATTATAGTTTTATTTTTTATCAATTTCTTCTTGTTAATCTGGATTTTTCGTATATTTTTCACATCAGTTTTTCACCTTAAATTTTTATGTACCTGTACTGTTAATTCAGAATTTATTGGAAACATTTATTATTACCATTTTGACAAGACCAACCAAAATTTGAGATTACTTATTGTGATTTCAGGAAAATCTGCATACAGATAGATGTATCAGATATCCTATTACTGCAATACTCACAATGTCGTATAATTTGCACTAATAAAAACCTCGCAATGATTTCAGAATTTACAGTAGTTAATTAGAATCACAACTTTATAAGTAGTACTATACAATCCAACTAATCTAACTGATGCCTGACTCTGTATCAAATTGTTGGCAAATCATTCTAAATATAATTTTTACATTCAAGTTAAAAGACAAGTTTTTTAATTTTTCTTCCAGTGACTGTATTATTTCAAAGACATATGTGATAATATATCAAAACAATTGCTGAATTTGATATTTCAAAAATGGTTCAACCATAAATATTATTATCAAGATAAAATGACAAAGAGTTTTTTTGTCTGTTAGAGTTTACCAGAAACTGTTTCAGAAACTCCTCTTGTTATTTATATATATTTTGTGTCTGTCATACTTGTAATGCTTCACAACCTTAACAAACTTGCAGACATTCAGGCTGATGTGTGTAACAGATGCAATATATCAAAAACAAACAAAATCTTGCACAATAAGTTTGATTAAAAATTTGTCATACAAAAAATGTCTGGAAATACTCAAAATGTGGGATTTTACAGGATTTAGTCATCAGACCCTTGCCTATTTTCTTCAGAAGTGAACCTTTATTTTTTTAAATGATTAATGAACTTAATATGGAAGTCTTTATCTCAAAGTCCCCCCCTCCTCCTCCTTTTCAATTTTTTCTCCCCTAAAAGCTGTTGTGTATCATATGAATTTTTTTTATAAAAAGCATGTGTTTGTTTATTTATAAAATGTAGAGTGCACAAGCTACCTACCTTGTTTACCTTGTAGCTTCATTAATTCATCAATCATTTGATTTATTTTAATGAAGATCGCAAGATTTTTTTTTTTTTTATAAATTCATGATTACACTGCTAAAAAGGAAGATAATATATTGTAAACCAACTTGTTTTCACTGAAACATGTGAAACTTCATGTTAAGCCTGTTTCTAGCCGATTTCACAGTGATTTATATTCATGATTTGCTAATTTTTATGATGTATTTATATAAAAGTAGATCTAAGTATTACATTTTTATACGCCCGTTTACGGGACGTATTATGGTATACCGTTGACCGTCCGTCTGTCTGTCCGTCCGTCGTCAACATGTCGGACATTAACTCAAAAACGCTTTTACCAATATGCATGAAACTTTGGTGAATTGTTTATATCTATTGACATGAGCTCCCTTTCGTTTTTTATAAATTTTGGATTTACTGTTTCCGAATTTTGGAGTTTTATTCATTAAAAAAGGGGGGATTTTCCAGTTTTCGGACAATAACTCAAAAACAATTTCACCAATTTGCAAGAAACTTTGGTGAATTGTTTAATGCTATCGACATGAGCTCCCTTTTGATTTTTATAAATTTTAGACTATACGTTTCTGATTTATGGGGTTTTATTCGTTACAAAAAGGGGGATTTTCCAGTTTTTCGGACAATAACTCAAAAATGCTTTCAGCATTTTTTATGAAACTTTGGTAAATTGTTTATATCTATTGTTGTAAGCTCCCTTTTGATTTTTATAAATTTTAGATTTTATGTTTCTGAGTTACAAGATTTTATTCATAAAAAAGGGGTGATTTTCAAGTTTTTGGACAATATCCTTAAAGTGCTTAGAGCAGTTTTCATTAAACTTTGATGACTGATTTATATCTATTAAGATAACCTCCCTTTAGTTTGTTTTATAAATTTCTAATATAACATTGAGAAGTTATTGAATTTTATTTGTTTATAGTCTGACAACATTTACTAGTATTGCGCAACAGCACAGTGTATTGCACAACAGAAAGAAATCTTTAATTGAATATAAATTCAATTCATATAACCAATTTCAAGTTCTTTGACTACATTTATTCAGAAACCTATAATATGTCAAATATTTAATTACAATCCAAATTCAGACCTGTATCAAGCTTGAATATTGTGTCCATTTTTGCCCCAACTGTTCAGGGTTGGACCTCTGAGGGCGTATCCAGCTGCGCTCAGCGAAGCAGTTTATTGCAATTTATATTCTCGTTATTTTTTTTCTTGCCAAAATTAATTGCTCTCTAAAATAAGTTGGTTTCACAATACCTTAAAACTACAACATTCCACTTTGGAAGATTGAAAGGTTGACCTCTTTGTCCTTGTTAATTATGTGAAAAACCTTGTCTGAAAAAAAATTAAATTAAAATCTGTCATTTTATCTTTCAGATAGAGGCTATGAAAACTGATGTGATTACCACAGTAGCTTCAAATTCAGCTGGAATGGGATCACTACAAGGAATTCAGGTACTAATGATTGAAACTGAAAATTTGTTCTGGTCAGCATATTGATATTACCTATTTTCCCAATAAAACATGAAAAGGATAACATGAATCACCAAAAATAGTGGACAGTACAACAGAACACGATGTCTACCAACACCAGCTTACAGAAAAGATGTACAAAGAAAACAACTGATGAACAACACATGGTTGAGCTGACTAACATACAAAAAAGGGTGGGGTTAAACCGGTTTGTCAAACACGCTTTGAAAAACCTGCAGTACTAGCCTGTTTTGGAAAAAAGCAGTCATATTAGCTGTGTTTTATATGACATTATCCACTATGTAATACATGTAGAATTTTCAGAAAAAAAACATAAGGCTAAAAAACATATACTTGTTTCTTGCCTCCAGGCACAAAAAATATAGGGTAGATGGGTATGTTAAATGATTTAATTTTTTCTTTTTAATTTTACATAGGCTATTTAGGGAAATGTTCTGGACATAAATGGTGCTTAACTAAAAAAGTTAGTTTTTAACAAGCTTCATAACCAAAATTGTCCATAAAAAGTGTTAAGAGTAGGCATGAAAATTTATGGTAAGTAGGAAGGCAGAAAACAAGTACTTTTTTCTCGACCTAATCCTAACTTTATCACTGCTGAAACTGGTGAAAAGTACTGTTGATTGACAGCTTATATGTTAAATTAATATTTATTTTGCATTACTTCTGTTGTTTGGTTGCTGTCTCATTTATTGTTACGATTTATCACCTTTTATTCATACATTACTATAAGAAACAATAAAGTATGTTTCTTGTCTGTTTTTGTAAGAAAATTGATAAATATGATGCAATACCCTCACTCCTGCATCATTTTTAATGCTTGAAAATTTATCTGAAAAAACAGATAATGTATGCTTGTATGACCTAAAACATGTACAAAACCTTTTATTCTTCTTTTATTTCTATCACATAGATTGGCCAGGCAGATATAACCAATGCTCAGTTGATAGCCTTACAGAATGCAGAGAGTGCCAATACACAGTTAGTAACAGTAAATACTCCACAGGAGATCCAGTTGATGGGAACTAGTGATACAGAGACGGGGTCAAGTACTAATTTCCAAACTGTTTCAATTGTACCTACATCAGTGGATCAGGGCGGTGAGATGAATTATGTTTTGATCGTTTCACAACCAGATGGAGAAAAAGAAGGAGGCTCTCCAAAACAGTTTGCCTTGGATATGGGAATGTTTCAACCAGTCTTTGATTTCAAAGAGGGACAAAATATGGTTGAAGAAGTTGTTGATGATGATGGAACCACAAGAAAAATAATACGGGTGAATTCGATGAATCCTAAAAAGTTTGACATGATTCCGTCCCCAGTTACACAGCTGCAATGTCATTATTGTAGCTACACTGCTCCAAAACGTTACCTAATGATGCGTCATATGAAAACACACTCTGAAGACAGACCTTATCAATGTAATCTTTGTGAGAAGAGTTTTAAAACACATGCATCTCTTCAAAACCATGTGAATACACATACTGGAGTTAGGCCACATAAATGTAAGGACTGTGAAATGGCATTCACTACATCTGGGGAACTCGTCAGACATATTCGTTACAAACACACATTTGAAAAACCACACAAATGTACAGAATGTGATTATGCTAGTGTTGAACTAAGTAAACTTAAACGGCACATGAGATCACACACTGGCGAAAGACCTTATCAATGCCCACACTGCCCGTATGCGAGCCCTGACACATACAAGCTAAAGCGCCATCTAAGAATTCATACTGGTGAGAAACCCTATGAATGTGATGTGTGTCATGCTCGTTTCACACAGAGTAACAGTCTGAAGGCACACAAACTTATACACTCTGGTTTAAAGCCTGTTTTCCAGTGTGAACTTTGTCCAACAACATGTGGCAGAAAAACTGATCTAAAAATTCACATGATGAAATTACACAGTAATGACAAACCTGTAGACTGTAAGAAATGTGGCATGGTTTTTCAAGATCGTTACAGCTTTAAGTTACATTTGAAAACTCATGATGGCGAGAAATGTTTCAAATGTGATCAGTGTGAATATGCTGCTTTATCACAACGTCATTTGGAAAGTCATTTATTAACACATACAGGTAAGGGGAGGTAATTCTTATTAGAAAACCATATCAATAAAATTAATTTTGTTTTGAAGCAGAATAACACACTGCACATGTATTGAATAGCTACTTTAATTGGATTCATGCACAAGTTTTCTTTTGTCAGAAACACCAAAAGCCATAAATATATCGGGCATTTGAATATTAAATGCTTTTAGCAGGCAAGACAAGACAAGACAAGACAAGAGTTGAAGCTTTTTTAAAGTATGAATGCATGGTATATATAAAATTACTGTTTGAAACAAAGGATGCTTTGAGAAAAGTTTAATTTTGGGGTTTATTTTTTTGAATTGCACCAACCATAAGCAAATATACCTACATGTACATAGTGGCATTTCTCTTGCTTTAAGGTGGGCATACATGTATCTGAACACATTCCATGGAAACAAGTTAACTTTTACATCATTTGGTCTCTGGTGGAGAGCTGCCTCATTAGCAATCATACCACATCTTTTTTTATGTTTAAAAATATCAAATTATTTTCTCAACCTACATCTATACTTTAATAAAGGGCAATTTTCTATTTACCTAGGTTTTTATGTGTTTGGTAATGTACATTATATATAAGTATTTGTTTGTTATTTTCACTGTTTAAACAGTTTTATTAATGCAAGTTTCATAGTTTGATGGGCAACATTTTATGACAGATATTTTAACATTTTTTCCACAAAAATTAAAAAAGGCAAAATTTCGACAAAATGGCTCAAAACATTTATTATGTTTTGTCAGCTTGATATGTTATTTTTTATTTGAGAAATTTATATATTTTTATTCACTTTATGAAAAAAAAAAAAACAGTAGTTAAGAAAATAAAAAGTACCAGTAGCAAAATGAACTGTGAAGCTTGGTTTTGATTTGAAATGTTATAAATATTTGTGTTATTTGTTATATATTTTAAAATATATTTTAACATTATATGTTTACCTACAGTGTAATGACTTCATGTACAATGTATGTTAAATGTTACTGATAATTTACTGTATTACAACAATAGTAGAAGGTCATTATGCAGAGTTCTTGAAATATTATTTTCCCTGGTGGTCCTTGAAGAAAACCTGCCGGTCCTCACTATTATTTCTATTGCAAAATACCAAAATTGTGTCGGTCCTTTTGGAAAATTTTGGGTTTTCAAAATCTTCAGACCACCATTTTTCAAGAACTCTGATTATGATATCTTTTGGACACAGTTTCATGCTTATTTTTTTTTTTAAATGTTGAGTTAATTTCTTACCTTACTCTGAATTTAAAAGTGAGTGTCCTCAATTTATGGTGAGAATACTTCTTTACAAGGTATATGAAAAATTAATTCATTAAAAGTTTGTTATTTTAACTGCTACACCTTCATAATCTGTCAGTTTATTTGGTAGATTCATTTTTTGAATGAATTGAGCCATATAATGGAAAGAGGAATGTCTTGAAATTCACTGTTAGTAATTATCATGATTATCCTAGTAAAGTTATATATAGTAGCAATGTATTTGAATTTGATTTTTTTTCAGGAATGTTAGTATACTGTAGAAAAGTGTGTGGTCAAATTTTTATTGATTTGGCTCAAACATTGATTTCCAAGGGATTATTTTTTGTGCTTCCCAGTTGAAAAAAAGCATTTTTTTATAAAGTTTAATTTCAATACATGTACCTATTCCACAAATAAACAAAATTCGGATTTCTGCTTTTACAGAAATAATTGTAGACTTCATTATTGTAATATTAATAGATAAAAGTAGTTTATCAGTTCATAAAAATTTAAGAATGCCCTGTTATTGTCTTTTTCAGGAGAAAAACCTTTTGAATGTGACGACTGTGAACAAACATTTAGACAAAAACAGCTTCTTAAGCGTCACAAAAATTTGTACCACACACCTGACTACAGCCGACCAGAACCAAAAGAGAAAACTTATGAATGTAATTTATGTGATAAATCTTTTGCAAATAAAGGTAATTTGTTACGTCACATGCAGAACCACGATCCAGAATACTGGAACAAGAAGTTAGGAGACGGTGGAAATGTTGCCTTGTCAACAGATGATCTGATCCAAGGGTCATTACTCAATGACATGAGAGAAGGGAAATTAGGTTCGGCCCCCAAAGTTGTGATTGTCCATCCAAATGGTAGTGTAGAGGAGGTTACCAACAGATTACAGAATTTGGTTGCTGAGAAACAGATGGAAGAAATGATGGTTGAGGTTGTACAGGATGACGGTAGTCCAACAGCCGTATCTACTCATAGTTTAGAGGAGGCTATTAGATCTCAAGTAGAGGCTGCAATACAGTCACATGTAAATATGCATTGTATTTTATGTAGTACTTTTTAAGTACATGGCTCCTCTTCAAATTAAGGTGGTACCTAACAATTTGGTTATATTATATTTCTATTGTTTAATTTGCTCAAGCAGCTGGGCATATGGTTTGTGTGTTCATCCATCTGTCTTTTTGTCCTGCTCCATGAATGTGGAAGGGTGTGGGTTCAATCCCAACCAAGGTAAACCAGTAACTTAAAAACTGGTAAGCTTTGAGTAAGAATAATGTGTCTGGGTAGGGTGACATGTCTTCCTGGGGACTCAGCATGTTGGTGTAGTACAAAACTTGGTTCATATTCATCACATTGACATTTCTCATCCTGATATGCATGTAATATTTGCCACTGGATAATAAACATTCATCCATCCATCCTAAAAGAATATTCAATAGCCAAAATTGCAGCTTTCAAAATTTAAGTTCTGTTAAGAAGATGCTATATTTTCATAATGCTGTTACAAATAATTGGATATTATAAATCACAATATGTATTTTATGTTAATCCAAAATATATTAAGAATAGCTTCAAATAATTTTTTTTGGCTGTGTTTGACCGTCAATTGCATAAACCACCAAATTTTGAATAGACTATTTTTGTTTATTTTAAGTTCCACTTTGAAATTATATTGCATTACAATTGAAAATAAAATGCTTCGCTGAGCGCAGCCTGATATGACCACAGAGGTCGAACCCTGAACAGTTGGGGCAAATTTGGACACAATATTCAAGCTTGATACTGTCTGAATTTGGATTGTGATCAAATTTTTGACATAATATAGGTTTCTGACACAAAATAAATGTCGTCATGGATTTTATAAATCCATTGCGCAATACTGTGCAATTGAAGATTTCTTCTTGAAACTTTTCAAAAATTCGAAATTTTAAAAATTTAGATAAAAAAAATATGAATCCCTTAAAAAAATTGGGGAAAAAAAAACCCCCCACCCCCAAACTTTTTGAAACCCCCCCTTGGAGCAATAACCCCAAAACTCAATCCCAGCCTTTCCTTTGTAGTATGGAACCTTGTAGTACAATTTTAGAAAGATCCATACACTTACACACAAGTTATTGTCTGGAAACGAGAAAAATGCTTGTTTTTGGCCCCTTTTATACGACCGCAAAAATTAAAAAATTTTTGGTCGTATATTGGTATGACGTTGGCGTCGTCGTCGACGTCCGGCGTCGTCCAAAGACACATTGGTTTTCGCACTGTAACTTTAGTTTAAGTGAATGGATCTCCATGAAATTTTACCATAAGGTTCAATACCACGAAAGGAAGGTTGGGATTGATTATGGGGGTTATGGTACCAAAAGTTAAGGAATTAGGGGCCAAAAAGGGGCCAAAAATAAGCATTTTTGTAACTTCCAGACAATAACTTGTGTGTAAGTGTATGGATCTCTCTGACATTGTACCACAAGGTTCCATATCACAAAGGGAAGGCTGTAATTGATTTTGTGGGTAATTGCCTCAAAATTTTAGGAATAAGGGCCAAAAAAGGGGCAAAAAACAAGCATTTTTCTAGTTTCATGACAATAACTTGTGTGTAAGTGTTTGGATATTTCTGAAATTGTACTACAAGGTTCCATATCACAAAGGGAAAGCTGGAATTGAGTTTGGGGGTAATTGCCCGAAAAGTTTAGGAATTGGGGGCCAAAAAGGGGCCAAAAATAAGCATTTTTCTAGTTTCCAGACAATAACTTGTGTTCAAGTGTATGGATCTCTCTGAAATTGTACTGCAAGGTACCATACCACAAAGGGAAGGATGGAATTGAGTTTGGGGGTGATGAATCATAAGGGGGTTCAAAAAATTTGGGGGGGGGGGTATTTTTTTTTTTTTTCTTTTTTTTTCTTTTTTTCCTTTTTTTTTTCTTTTAAAATTTTCCTTTTGAAGTTGGTTATTTCTGATTTATATTTAAAAGCAAATAATAATGATATGGTAGGAGATACACACCAAACAGGATGTGTAAATTATTATATAATAAGTATTGTGCAATAGCAAGAAATTTTCAATTGCACAGTATTGCACAATAGCAAGAAATCTTCAATTGCACAGTATTGCGCAATAGCAAGAAATCTTCAATTGCACAGTATTGCGCAATAGCAAGAAATATCCAATAGCACAATATTGCGCAATAGCAAGAAATTGTCAATTGTACAGTATTGCGCAATAGCAAGAAATATTCAATTGCACAGTATTGTGCAAAAGAAGATACTTCGTATAAATTGCTTATTTCTTGATCAATTTCAATGGGGTTTTATTCTTGAATTCTTGGGGTTCTTTAATATGCTGAATCTAACCGTGTATTAAGTTTTTGGATTTTGGGCCCCGTTTTTAAATTGGTCCACATTGAGGTCCAAAGGGTCCAAAATTTAACTTTGTTTGATTTCATAATTCTTGGGGTTCTTTGATATGCTGAATCTAACCATGTATTTAGATTTTGGATATTGGACCATAATAGGTGAAAGTCAATTTAAAATTTTTAAGTTCTTAGACCACATTCATTCTGTGTCAGAAACCTATGCTGTGTCAAATATTTAATCACAATCCAAATTCAGAGCTGTATCAAGCTTGAATGTTGTATCCATACTTGCCCCAACTGTTCAGGGTTCGACCTCTGTGGTCGTATCAAGCTGCGCCCTGCGGAGCATTTTATTGGCCCTTAATTCCTAAACTGTTGGCCCCCATAACCCCTTAAATGAATCCCAACCTTCTACTTGTGGTATTAAACATTGTGGTACAATTTCAGAGCAATCGAAATACTTTTACACAAGTTATTATCCTGAAACTAGAAAAATGCTTGTTTTGGGCCCCTAATTACTAAACGGTTAGGACCATCACCCCCAAAATCAATCCCAACCTTCGTTTTGTGGTATTGAACCTTCTGAAAAAATTTCATAGAGATCCATTCACTTAAACTAAAACCAATGTGTCTTCGGACAACGACGCAGACGACGATGGTGACTCAGACGACATACGATCCAAAAAAATCCAAAAAAAATTTTTGCGGTGGTATAATGAGGTGGAATTTTTATATTATTTCATAAATCTAAATTATATTCAATCTTTAATATGAAATTTCTAAATAATAACATACATTTGTAAATATCAGTAGAAAATGTAAATAAAACCCTTAGTAATAAATTATCAAGTTTTTTCTGTTTCCATTTGCAGGCTTTAAAGGCATTAGAGATAGCTAAAACAAACAGTGGAGATGACTCAGCCACAGGTAAAAAAGGGGGAGAGTAGTTCTGGAGGAAAAGGGGGGGATCAAAAACCATGAGATAAAGAAAAAACAGACAGCACCCATTGCCAAAAGATAAAACAAAAAAAAGATATAAATACAAAATCCACAAAACACTACACAGATCTGGAGTGACATGATGGACCCACAAAAAACGAGAACTGAAATCAGGTGCTCTGGGAGGGTCAGCTGTTCCTGCTCCACTTGTAACAACTTAGTAACACCCCTAACAGTGAAACTATTAAAATATGTTCATATTTGGTGTTTAAGCATTATATAATAAAAATATTTGCTGTTGAACCCTAAGACATCACCAAGTTCATAAACTATCCATATATGTAAATTCTCTAACATTACAACTTCACTGGATGTGAAAATTTAAAATGAAATCAAAGGATAAACAAGGTTGGTGGAAACAATACAGACATTGTGAGTGTACAGCCAAGTTACCGTTCATGCTTTAACATACATGTACATGAATTGGGGACATTCATGAATAAATGAACTGAGTGACTGGCTTAAACAATAATAAACCTATTTTATCTTTACCATTAGTTAAAATGTTTGAGAAATAGATAGTAAATATTAGGTTGTAGAAATTGGTACCAGAAATAAAATTATGGGTCAGATTTCTACCAGTAAAAAAAATAACAAAATTCACTTCAATCTCTGACCAATATATAACAGAAACCTTCAAATTGTGTATACCTTCAATTTCTATACATGTATTTCCAGTCCTAAAAATTTGATGGATATACAGTATTATTTAAAACTGATTTTTAGTAGCATGCTCTTTTTAATATTCAATTTCACAAAATGTTAGACATGACACTTGCATTTTAGATTTTATAACTATCTTTTAATTATATACAAGTAACAGTGGACTTGCTGTATATGTGTTGCCATAGGGCAGTGCAGATTTTTATGGTTGATTTTTATACGCCCGTTTACGGGACGTATTATGGTATACCGTCTGTCCGTCCGTCCGTCTGTCCGTCCGTCGTCAACATGTCGGACATTAACTCAATAATTAACCAATTTGCATAAAACTTTGGTGAATTGTTTGTATCTATTGACGTGAGCTCCCTTTCGTTTTTTATAAATTTTAGATTTTACGTTTCCGAGTTATGGGGTTTTATTCATTAAAAAAAGGGGGATTTTCCAGTTTTCGGACAATAACTCAAGAATGCTTTCACCAACTTGCAAGAAATTGTGGTGAATTGTTTATATCTATTGACATGAGCTCCCTTTCAATTTTTATGTATTTTAGATTTTACGTTTCCGAGTTACAGGGTTTTATTCATAAAAAAAGGGGGATTTTCCAGTTTTCGTACAAAAAATCAAAAATGCTTTCAGCAGTTAGTATGAAACTTTGGTGAATTGTTTATATCTATTGATGTAAGCTCCCTTTACATTTTCATAAATTTCTAATATGACATTGAGAATTAATTGAACTTTATTTGTTTATAGTCTGACAACAGATTTACTAAGTATTGCACAACAGCACAGTGTATTGCACAACAGCAAGAAATCTTTAATTGAATATAAATTCAATTCATATAACCAATTTCAAGTTCTTTGACTACATTTATTCAGAAACCTATAATATGTCAAATATTTAATACAATCCAAATTCAGACCTGTATCAAGCTTGAATATTGTGTCCATTTTTGCCCCAACTGTTCAGGGTTGGACCTCTGCGGGCGTATCCAGCTGCGCTCAGCGAAGCAGTTTTTATACGACCGCAAAAAAATTTTGTGGTCGTATATTGGTATGACGTTGGCGTCGTCGTCCGAATACACAATGGTTTTCGCACTCTAACTTTAGTTTAAGTGAATGGATCTCTATGAAATTTTACCATAAGGTTCAATACCACAATAGGAAGGTGGGGATTGATTTTGGGGGTTATGGTACCAACAGTTAAATAATTAGGGGCCAAAAAGGGGCCGAAAATAAGCATTTTTGTAACTTCCAGACATAACTTGTGTGTTATTGTATGGATCTCTTTGACATTGTACTACAAGATTCCATATCACAAAGGGTCGATGATGGGATTGATTTTGGGGTTAATTTCCTCGAAATTTTAGGAATAAGGGGCCAAAAGGGGGCAAAAAACAAGCATTTTTCTAGTTTCATGACAATAACTTGTGTGTAAGTGTATGGATCTTTCTGAAATTTTACTACAAGGTTCCATTTCGCAAAGGGAAAGCTGGAATTGAGTTTTGTGGTAATTGCCCAAAACGTTTAGTAATAAGGGGCCTAAAAAGGGGTGAAAAATAAGCATTTTTTAGTTTCTAGACAATAACTTGTGTTCAAGTGTATGGATCTCTCTAAAATTGTATTACAAGGTACCATACCACAAAGGCAAGGCTGTTATTGAGCTTGGTTTGGGGGGGAAGGGGGGGTGATGAATCATAGGGGGGGGGGGGTCAAAAAAGGGGTAATTATTTTTTTTCGTTTAAGGAATAAGGGGAAAAAAGGTTAAAAAACTAGGGTTTCCATTTTAATAGACAAATAATTGAGTAAAGAACATTATTTAAAAGCAGTGTAAGGTTGGTAATTCAAACTCATTTAAATATCTCACCTGCACTATGTTTGAATTATGTAAATTGGAAATTTGCCAATTATTTTAGGATAATAAACTTCATTGGAAATTTGCCAATTTTATATTGGAAATTTACCAATAGTTTGTTTATTTTTAGCTATGACTATGATGTCATTTTCTATTTAATTTTAAGGTTACAAATTAATTTCAGTTTTAAATATTATTGTAAAATGTTTGCCCAAAACATTTATTAATAAGTGGCCAAAAAAGGGGGCAAAAATAAGCATTTTTTTAGTTTCCAGACATTAACTTGTGTTCAAGTGTATGGATTTCTCTGAAATTGTACTTAAAGGTACCATACCACAAAGGGAAGTGGGTCAAAAAATTTTGGGGGGGGGGGGGATTTTTTTTCCTTTTTTTTTTCTTTAAAATTTTCCATTTTAAGTTGGTTAATTCTGATCACAAAGAGAAAGTTGGAATTGAGTTTGGGGGATAATTGCTCAAATGTTTAGGAATAAGGGGCTAAAAAAGGGGTTAAAAATAAGCATTTTTTTTTAGTTTCCAACAATTAATTGTGTTTAAGTAATTGGATCTCTGTGAAATTGTACTGCAAGGTACCATACCACAAACTGAAGGCTGGGATTGAGTTTGGGGGGGGCGTGATGTGTGAAAATTTTCCACTTAAAGTTGGTTAATTATTTCTGATTTAGATATAAAAGCAAATAATAATGATGTGGTTTGATTTTATCAAAAACTTAAATTGAAGTTATGTATATTGTAAATTTAGGTTACATTGGAATTTAAGAATTGGCTTTGGGGTAGGGTTATGGCTCAAACCTTTAAATAATAAGGGAAAAAAAGGTGAAAAAACAAGGGTTTCCAGGTTAATAGACAAATAAGTACAAAACATTATTTAAAAGCAGTGTAAGGTTGGTAATTCAAACTCATTTAAATATCTCACTTACACTGTTTTTAAATTATGTAAATTGGAAATTTGCCAATAATTTTATTGTTAATAAATGCATTGGAAATTTGCCAACAATTTTAGTATAATAAACTTCATTGGAAATTTGCCAATATAAAATTTTGCTGATGAAGGTTTTTTGTTTACCTTTAGCCTTGACTATGAAGTCATTTTCTATTTTTATAGCCTTATGATGTAGTTGAATTATTTAATACTTTTATGATGTGTTTAAATGGGGTTTTATGGTTGCAAATTTATTGTTTTAGTTTAATAAACTCCATTTAAAATTTGGTAATAAAAAAAATTTTTGTTTATTTTTAGCTATGATTATGATGTCATTTTCTATTTTACTTTTATGGTTGCAAAGAAATTTTTATTTTTAGATATTACTGTTAAATGATGCTGATTAAGGTTTTTGCTATGTTTAGCCATGACTATGATGTCATTTTCTATTTTAATATCTGTCATGATGTATTTAAATGGGCTTTTATGGTTACAAAGGAATTTTATTTTTAGATATTACTGTAAAATGTTGCTGATTAAGGATTTTGTTTATTTTTAGCCATGACTATGATGTCATTTTCTATTTTAATACCTTTATTATGTAATTTCCATTTTTAGATATTACTGTTAAATGATGCTGATTGAGGGTTTGAATGCTGGGATTGATTTTGGGGGTAATTGCCTCCAAATTTTAGGAATTAGGGGGCAAAAAACAAGCATTTTTCTAGTTTCATGACAATAACTTGTGTGTAAGTGTATGGATATTTATGAAATTGTACTACAAGGTTCCATATCACAAAGGGAAAGCTGGAATTGAGTTTGGGGGTACTTGCCCAAAACGTTTAGGAATAAGGGGCCAAAAATAAGCATTTTTCTAGTTTCCAGACAATAACTTGTGTTCAAGTGTATGGATCTCTCTGAAATTGTACTGCAAGGTACCATACCACAAAGGGAAGGCTGGGATTGTTTTTGGGGGTAATTGTCTCAAAATGTTAGGAATTAGGGGCCATAAAGGGGCAAAAAAACAAGCATTTTTCTAGTTTCATGACAATAACTTGTGTGTAAGTGTATGGATCTTTATGACATTGTACTGCAAGGTTCCATATCACAAAGGGAAAGCTTGGTTTGAGTTTGGGGGTAATTGCCCTAAACTTTTAGGAATTTGGGGCCAAAAAGGTGCAAAAAACCCAAGCATTTTTCTAGTTTCCAGACAATAATTTGTGTTCAAGTGTATGGATCTCTCTGAAATTGTACTGCAAGGTACCATACCACAAAGGGAAGGCTGGGATTGAGTTTGGGGGTGATGAATCATAAGGGGGTTTCAAAAAATTGGGGGGGGGGGATTTTTTTTTCATTTTTTTTCTTTAAAATTTTCCATTTTAAATTGGTTATTTCTGATTTATATATAAAAGCAAATAATAATGATATGGTTTGAATAGGTAAATTAAAAAATTTTAAGTTCTTAGACTACTTTCATTCTGTGTGAGAAACCTATGCTGTGTCAAATATTTAATTACAATCCAAATTCAGTGCTGTATCAAGCTTGAATGTTGTGTCCATACTTGCCCCAACTGTTCAGGGTTCGACCTCTGCGGTCGTATCAAGCTGCGCCCCAGCGGAGCATTTTATTTTATGTTTGTGTTATTTCATCTATTACAGACAACTTAACCATTGATCTAGATAGACCAACTCACACAGTGACAGGTCAGCCAAAACAAACATTCAGTAGACAGGAACTTGAAATGGAAACAGAAAGTAGTCCTGGTTCCAATAATGGGTGCATTACACTTGATACCAGTCAGACAGGATGGGACACTGAACACATGAATAAAATTCCTGATCATATTGTTATCGTCAAACCAAAAGATAAAAGGGGGGTGCTGAAAATTGTATCCGAAACAAATCAAGATATAGATGAAAGTAAAGAGAGTAAAGGAGGTTTGATTGGAGGGGTGGGGATAGATGAAGACAATATTAGTGCAGATTTGAATGATCAAAGTGTTTTACCTGTTCAACTGGACCATGAAATGGAAAATGGCGATAATACTCAGTCTTAGATCTATGTTACAGTTTTTTGTTTAATTATAAATTTATTTTAAATGTTTTGTTAATTTATATTAGTTTATTGTTATAATTTGAAAATTTATTGGTCCTTTGTATAAAATCATGCAACCAAGTAGGCAGAAGTAAACTTTTACTTACTGTAAAAACCAACTTATTTTCTGGCTGACTTTGCAGTGATTTTCTTTCTTGATGACTTTTCAACCATTTAATTTTGCTGTTTTCAAACTTTGTTGGTGTATTCGTATAATAGAAGATCAAAGATTGCCATACTATAAACCAACTTATTTGAGCAGTTACCTTATTTTTGTTTAGTGAACTTACGTCCCTTCTAGCATACCTCTTGGTGATTTCTTTTCTTTGTTGATGTACAAACTATATAAGATAAGATCATATATAGATTGAAAAATTCACAAAGAATTATAGTCATGTTACTTTTTCTACTCGCGAAAGCCGCTTGAATGAATCACTAATAATAAATAGCATTTTAATTTCCCTATTTTGACCCCAAAGTTTGCACTGATAATGTTTTGAATTTACAATTTAAAAAAAAAAAAAAACACTGACTCTTTGCTATATTTCTCTGGGGTTTCAGTGAAGAAGATTGTTGAATTTGGAATATCATCATTCATGGTATTTTTCTTGTTAACAGTCTCAAAAGACATATATTTGTTTGGTTTACCGTTCAATGATATATTTTCAAGTTATGTTTCTACTTGCAAAAGTCGTGTAGATAAACATTTTGCAAAAAAATAGTTGATTAACGATATTTAAGGCATAAATCATGCAAACAGCATTTTAAATATGGTAGAAAATGTTAAATTTCTCTCTTGATTCTTATTTAAATCATGAATTTGATCAAATGAAATAAGGAATTATGTTTTTTTTAATCCTGTAAAATAATCACTTAATGATAAATCAGTCAGAACAATATAGCAATAAGTCTACTTTTGAATTTCTATGAAAAGGTGCCTTTTTTAACCTTTTTGGTGAATCTTACATTAAATATATATTATAAAGCATGATATTTTTTATCACAGAGTTTCAAAATTAACCTGATGTATAGTTGTAAGACATGAATAAATGAAAACTTGAAAGGCAGGCAGGCAAACAAACTGATTGATTACAAATAAAAGTGACGAAAATATAGCTTAAGCACAATACTTACCCAAGAAGGAATTACCCCCTTCCCCCTTTTTCCATCGGCTAATGGGTTTCATGGCTTTTCCTCTCAAAGTAAATTACAGTTTTGGAGGGGGAACAATTATTTCCGGAAGTTTTTATGTTGCCAGACAGCATCCTGTTATCGATGCATAGCCATCACTACAACAGCCTTACATCATTGTACGCATCACACTTTGTGTTTATCTAAAACTAAAACAGCTTGACAGAATTCAACCAAACTTGCAGTTTTTTTTTTACAGGACATGAAGTTATGCACTTGCTATTTTGAATTTGTTTTGATCTAAGTGATTTAGGGGTGTTCCCATACCAAAAAATGGACTTTTTATATCAGTTTGTTAAACCACAACTCCTTGAAAACCAAACAGCTTGATAGAATTCAATGACACTTGCACAGATTCTTTCATAGGGAATGAAGTTGTGTACCTACTATTTTAATTTTCTTATCCGAGTAACCACCACACATACATAAAATATACTACTGGCCCACAAACTGAAAAATGGCACATGTCACTATTACAATTCTGGTCAAATTGCTATGTTAAAATAACAAAGGTTGTAAAAAACTTGTCCAAGATTTAGATTGCTCATCTAAACTGATTTTTTTCTAGTATTAGAAATTTCTGAAATTTGAATGACCAGAAATTAATTTATAGGGTTCTTAGTGTTAAAGACACATAACCTCCTATATTAAACATGCTGTTGTATCAAAACTCAAAGAGAACAAAAATAAAGTATATTAGTTAATATACTGAATACTGTATATTAAACAATAATTTGTGTTTATATGTATAAAAGAACTTTTTCAATGTTTCTTTATTGTCAGATATTTAAAAAAATAAATGTAAAAACTTTAGAATTAGTTAATTCTTGGCCACATACTTGTATAACTATAGCATGCCAAATTAATTAATGTTTGCATACGTTTTGCAAAAGTCACCTTTGGTATGTACCAGAATGCAGAACAATCTATTTTAATTCGACAGCAATAGCATTAAGTCATATGTCGCATAATAAAAAATCTAGACAATCCATATTTCATACATAGAAGGCATAAGTCAATGTAAAGATAATGTGGTTACATCAAATTTTTAGTTACTATAAGTTAATGGTCAAATTATATGTTTGGCCTAAATAATCATTTCAAGGTGTATATAGATATAAGAAGATGTGGTATGAGTGCCAATGAGACAACTCTCCATCCAAGTCAAAATTTATAGAAGTAAACCATTATAGGTCACAGTACGGTCTTCAACACGGAGCCTTGGCTCACACTGTACAGTAAGCTATAAAGGGCCCCAAAAAATTACTAGTGTAAAACCATTCAAAGGGGAAAACCAACGGTCTTATCTATATAAAAAACGAGAAACAAGAAACACTTATGAACCACATCAACAAACGACAACTACTGAACATCAGATTCCTGACTTAGGACAGGTGCAAACAAATGCAGCGGGTTTAAACGTTTTAATGGTACCAAACCTTCACCCTTTTTCTGAAACAATAGTGTAACATCACAATGACTTTCTTACGGTCACAGGAGAAACCTTATTTGCACCTCTTTAAATGTCAAGGTTGAGTTTTCATGCTTAGGTCAGTTCCAAAGTTATTAAAGTAATAGGTGTGTATATTTGCTGTATAGAATCATTTTAAGGTGTATATATTTATCTGATAGAAGTTGCTTGACCTCATTTTCATGGTTCAGTGATCAAAAGGAAGATTTGTACTTAGTTCAGTTTTTCTGTAATTTGACTTCTTCTTTCAAATACTGCCCACATTCAACATGATGAATATTCTGGCAAGTTGCGCATGATTAAAAACAGGTTAAAACAAATTGTTGAGTTGATTTAGTTAGAGGTTTTGGTCACTTGAGACTTGAATGTCTCAAGAGACTTCCCTGTGGTGATATCTGGAGCCGGGATCTGGAGGCAGTTTGTTCCAATCCTTGACGGTGTTTACGAAGAAGGACCATTTCCTACAGTCTTTAGTGGCTGGCTGTAATAGGTAAGTATGATGTCCTGTCTGACTAGAGCTTCTTGTTGGTTTTTGTAGATATTTACTCTTATCTATGGCTACAAGGTCAATTGTTATTTTGTAACACATGATGAGTCGAGCTTCTTGTTTGTAAGCTTTTCCATCCTAATTCAGATATCATGTTGCTGACACTTGATCTAATTCTATGTCTGCTGGTTACATATCGTGCAGCTCGTTTTTGTACTTTTTAAATTTTATCTAAATGGTTTTGCTGGTACAGGTCCCATACTGTTGTGGTGTATTCCATATGCGGTCTTACTAATATTTTATAGGCATGCTCCTTGACGGATTTTGAGCTGATGTGGAGGTTTCGATGTAAGAAACTAAGACTTTGGCTGGCTTTTCCTGTGATGTTGTTAATGTGTTTTCCCCAATCTGGATCATTTGCAATGGTGCAGCCTAGGTATTTAGTCAATGTTTCATGCTCCAGAGTATGGCCGTGGAGTTTTGTAGTCCCACTTGATTGGATTTTTGTCGCAGTATGCGAGACATAGGTATTACAATCCGGCGGCGGCGTAAACTATTTGTATAAAGCTTTATAATTCAGAAGGTAGAAGACCTGGATGCTTCATATCTTGAATGTTGATACCTTATATTACAAAGTTTCCGTCAATCATATGTCAATGTCCTTGACCTCATTTTCATGGTTCAGCGACTGCTTAAAAAAAAATTGAGTTTTTTTTGTGAATTTCTTTCTTATTATGAGTAATAGGATAACTATATTTGGTATATGGGTTCCTTGCAACGTCAACATGTCCGTCAGACAGAGTTCACCTGACCTTGACCTCATTAAATGGATCAGTGATCAAGGTTAAAGTTAGGGGACGACCATTTGATATTCTGGAGGGGGGGGGGGGGGGGGGGGGGGGGGGGGGGGGGGCAGGAGGATTTTGAAAATAAATAACTCAGCCTTGATAATAACAAAAATGAATGGTTTGTTCTGTGTTAGTTTTAAAATAAATAACCTGACTTACAATGTATTCAAAATAACTTGGAAGGTCTTTTAAGCCATTTTATAATGCTATTATGAAGTATGAGATGGCACCAGATTCTTCCAAAATTCGTCTTTTTTCATATTTTTTTCGGGAAAAACTTCCCAAATCTTTTAATAATATAAATATTAATGTATTTGAAATGTTTGAAAATGGGTTTCATTTCACTTGAGGTATATTGTCTCGTGAACATTTACCTCACTTTTATTACAGGGCCGTAACTACATTGAGGCAAATGCCTCATATTGGAAATTTCAAAACTAAAGCTTGTCTTCATATCAAATTGTTTTCACGGCAAGTGTCTTGCAAGAAGCAAGTTCTGTTCACCCTCTGACGTAGCCCCTGTTTTTTGAGATCCATGTTTCTCATTTATTTTTATTTTTCAGTGTTGATTGTCTATAATGTTTGTCGTTTTGTGTTTTATCTGTTCCCGGGTTTGTCTTTTGTTCATTGATTGCCCGTCTTTATGACTATTCTCTTAGTGTTGCATTCTATTTGTAATTTAGTAATTATGTTTTAAACTTGAGTTTTATTATATTTGAGGACCTTTTGTCTATTACAAACTACTTTAAATTGTATCTCAGTTAGGAACTATACAGCAAGTTGTTATTGAAATGTGTTATAAAAACTGACTTGACATAGTTATATCAATGATAATCAGCCCCCTCTTAACTTAATTTGAAAAAAAACATAATTGTTCGGTGTGAGCCAAGGCTCCGTGTTGAAGACCGTACTTTGACCTATAATGGTTTACTTCTATAAATTTTGACTTGGATGGAGAGTTGTCTCATTGGCACTCATACCACATCTTCTTATATCTATAATTGACAGGCATAAAAGGTTTTTTCTGCAAACTGAAACATTTTTTGCTTTGTCCTACATATTGGTCTTTTGATGTTGTCCCTAAAAACTAAAAGGCTTACACTGAATCTATATATTTTGCTTTGAGATCAGAATATTGTCAAAAAATTAAAACAGAACTTACGTTTCAGATTAAGAAAGGGTCTGGAAACGCGCATAAGGCATGATTTTGCGCCATTTTTTCTATAGCTTCTTGGGGCCTTCAGCGAACCCCAGACTCTTCGCTGATTTTTTTTTCGCCTCGCTCCGCTCGGCGAAATGTTTGACAACTTTTAAAAGAGGCTAGTTACAGCCCAGCTTTTAATACCTTGTCCGTATGCAATATATGCAGTTTGCAATTCAGAAGATTAACTTCCAGAGGATGATGATTAATTCTGATTGACTTAATTGACTATGTTATTTATATAAGAATTTAAAAATTGTATGTTTTCAAATACTATAAATATAATTGTGAAAATAGATAATCAGTCCCTTGTTTTAAATGAAAATGAAAAATCATGCTTCAACAGTGCAGAAAATAAAGAACCCATCCAAACAAATCTCTGCCCCCCCCCCCCCCCCCCCCCCCCCCCCCCACCCCCCCCCCCCCCCCCCCCAAGAATATCAAATGGTCGTCCCCTTACGTAATAGGTCCGTTTCTCAAATACTATAGGCAGTAGGTCAACTATATTTGGTGTATGGAATGATTGTAATGGGTACATGTCAGTCTGGGAGGTTTCATCTTACCCTGACCTCATTTTCATGGTTCATTGGTCAATAATAAGTTTTGATCTGCTTTTCAAGTACTGTAAGCAATAGGTTTACTATATTTTGTGTATGGAATGATTGTTAGGTGTACAAGTCTGTCTTGCAGGTATCATCTGACCTTGACCTCATTTTCATAGTTCAGTCAAGTAGGTCGTTAATGTAAAAAAGAAAGAGGCTGGATCCTAAGGCTGGTCCATGTGGTACTCCGGATTCTACTTTCACTTTGTCTGATGTTTCGTCTTCAACAATTACTACTTGGGTTCTGTTGGTGAGAAATTCCGTTATCCATTTGTTTGTTGTCCTTCGAATGCCATAATAGTGAAGTTCATGGAGGAGTAAACTGTGGGACACCTTGTCAAAAGCTTTTAAAAAGTCCAGTATAAGAAGATCTGATTGTTTTCCGTTTTCCAGATTTTTTGTGATATCATCGATACATTCAAGGAGTTGTGTTTCGCATGATCTTTTATTCCTGAAGCCATTTTGTAGAGGGTATATGATGTTATTTACCTCTGCATGTTTCATGATGTTACTGGTGACTATATGCAGATACATGTTAGGGATATTGGCCTATAGTTAGCTGGAATGTATTTCTGGCCTTTCTTATATGCCGGAGTGACATTTGCAGTTCGCCAGTCATCGGGTTTCTTTCCTTTCTCCATTGAAAAACTGTAAATGATGGTTAAGATCGGAGCAATTTCAGTGGCTAGTTCTTTCAGTATCATTGGCTTGATGTTGTCTGGTCCAGCAGCCTTGTGTGGGTTTTAGATTTTCAGTTGTTTTTCCACTCCATTATTAGGATGATTATTTGTTCGCTGTTTGGATAGTTTTCTGGTAGATTTGTCATGAGTTTTTTTTTTCTTTTCAAAATCTCTTTTACTGATGGGACACGCAGCGGAGAAGAGTGATTTGAATTGATCATTTAGTATATTTGCTTTGTTTATTGAATCAGTTTCTAATTTCCCATTTCTTCCAAGTGGTGCTACTTCATTTTTATCACTTTTTTTGTGTTTGATATAGGATTTTTCAGTATACGGATATTGATAGTAAACTGCACATTGCTAGAAAACAAAGAAATATTGATGCCAACGTTAAAAACGTTAATAATGTACTTCGAATAGACCGGAAATACGAAAAAAAAAATTGAAAAAACATTGTTTAACAAAATTCTAATCTGCTAACCGAGTCCCATGTGTGTAATCATCAAAATTGAGTTATCCTTCTTTCT